ACGTGGTTTTGTCCCCCGCCATGCCCCCCGTAAAACCCCTCCGGTGCCCTTTTTTTTTTTTTTTTTTTTTTTTTTAACTATTTTGTAAGCAAATCGTTTCAATGACTTTACATTGGTCAAGCTCCCTTGTGAAGATGCTTGCAAAAGTATTCACAAACATTGACCTTTGTCAGTACATATTCAAAAATTTTGTGTATTTTCTTGAAATTTTATGGTGCACTGCCTTATGGTGTCAACGTATTGCAAAGATATGACATAAAAGATGGAGGTTGTATTTTCCAAAAAAAAAAAAAAAGGGAGTCATGGGATGCATTTGTGTTTAGTCCTAGATTCAATATTTTCTAGGATTACCTTTCTTTTGAATCTTTTGTTCTTTTTTTGTATCTTTTTGTTTGCTCATAAATGGTCAGAAGACAGCTTTATGTACCGAATTAAAAATTGGAAATTTTAAATTAAATGGTGGCCAAATACGAATGTATGCCACATTTTCCAGATTTTAGCTTGAATTTTTTTTTTTTTAAATCATGTATTCTTTTTCACTCACCTGCTCTCTGTAAACCATGTTTGAAGTGCACACACTCTGTGATCTGTGTGGGCGCTGACTTGTTCCATCAGGCAGAGGGCGCCAGTGTGCAGTGTTCTTGGAAAGACCTACGGGAACAAGTGTTTGCTTCACAAAGAAGCCTGTCGGAAGAGGCGCCGCACTGGAGTGGCTCACTCAGGACCCTGTTTGGGTAAACACGCACAACATTCAGTGTGTCGCGGAGTATCCGCAGTTCTCTCCAGCTTTCTAGATCAGCTCTCTTATTCCCTTTCCTTTCATCAGTCCTCAAGAGCGAATGCACCGAGGAAGAGCTGGGCCAGTTTCCATATCGTCTCCTGGACTGGTTTCTTCTCCTGAGGCGAATGAGGGAGTCGTACACACCTGCAGCTCTGCCACAAACCTGTCTCAGCCACGGCGAGAGGACGCAGCTGGCAGAGGTCAAAGTTTGGGGTTGAAAGTGACTAAAAAAGCAGTCGACTCGTAGGAGACCTTTGTAAAGCAATACATTTGATTTATCGCCTACGATAACATCAGCCAGCGATGACACAATGCGAATCAATATCAACCGCGAATTGAATTACTTAAGAAACTAAAACTGGAAGAACGACAAGCTAAGAGATTGCTTTCGCTCCCAGTGTAACCCTACTCCAAACACAGTTGTTTTTTTTTGTTTTTTTTCAGACACCTTGTTGCCCTTTGTGCACTTGTCTGGTGGCTGATCGATGCTAACAACCAACTGGAAGTGGCGAGTTCTTCTGTTGCTTGTGGCCTTGTTGCCCACAAACTGAGATAGGGGCTCTCAGGAACACAATGCATAAACAGGGGTTTGGTCAATATCCGCTGAATTATTCAATAAGATGATGAAAGAGGGATAACTTAACAGCCTCTCTCCAGCAACCCTTGATCTCCACAGCCTCACATAAATTAAATGAAAACCTGTGCATTATTTCCAGTATGTGGGAAGCGATATGTGATGTAAAAGAGTAGAAGCTTTTCAAATATTATGAAGGTTGCCGTTTAACTTGCTTAGAGAGGTAATATCTAATAATTATTTTTTTTAAATCATACAGTGTGAAAGCATTTGGGCCTCTTTTCCAAATTTTGTCACGTCACTCAAAGTGTATTTTATTAGGATTTTATGTGCTAGACCGACACAAAGTCGTGTGTATTTGAGAAAAGAGTGAAAAGTGATACCGGGTTTTCAGAGATTCTTGTAAATGAAATCTGAAAAGTGTGGAGGGGAGTACAATTATCCAATTGTGCTACATTTTTTTCTCATTTTGAATGATGGGTTGAACAGTTCTCCATGAGGTGTACAAAGTTTGGGACATTGTTTTTGTAACCTAATTCTGTTTTAAATGTCTCCACTGCTTTATCTCTTAGTTGGGTTAGAGTTAATCACAAATCTGATTGGAAGATAGACTCTACTTCTTCTCCTGGCACTAGTATTTCAATGAATTTATTTTTATTTTTTTTTAAAATATGATCAGCATGAAAAGGAAACATTATGTAAATTAAAAAACAACAGTAGGCTGAGAATGGAGCCTTGAGGTGCACCACAATTCAATCTCACTCTTTATAAATTATTACTTTTAATAAACTGAGCTTGACCTTCAATAGAGCAATATTAATATTAATGTATTATTAAAATGCAGCAAAGTGCAATAATCTTCTTACTTCTACATCTCTCTCTCTCTCTTTTGTTTTTAGGAAAGCTTTACTTTACTGGACAAGAACAAAGATGGAAAGTTGAGCAGGAGGGATCTGAAGAAGCTGCATTACAAGAAGATGCCTTCGGAGCGTTGCGCTACACCGTTCTTCCTGTTAGTCCCATCTGCACCCATTTACAAACGCGTCGAATAAAACACATTCCTTTTCATACATATAACTATTTGATTTTTAAGACGATTGTAACATATCTCTAGTTTTGATCTATTTTTTTTTTTTTTTTTACAAAGCAACATGCAGCCGTTTAACTTTGCTCATATGCTCATGTTGACGTGACCTCGAGTCACACAGAGAGGTTCATGGTGGAAACCTTCTGTCTCTTGCAATATGTTAGCTTGCAGCTAATCGCCATTACGATGAGGTTGAAATGTATCACAGGGCAATGTTTCCCCCCCCCCCCGACTCTGATCAAGTTGCGCCTCCCACCATGCTGTTCCCTCTCTGCACGCCATCCATCCATCCTCCACGCTGGGCAGTGCTTCCTTCCTCATCCTCCCCGCTGATCTCATATGACCACACAATTTCTCCGTTAACTTTCTCTTTCTTTACCTTTTCCTCTCCCCATTCCCTCCTCTTTACCCACCGTCTGCTTCGTTTTTAGCTCATATACGTGTATCCCCTTCCTATGTCAGTCTGTCCTTCATTTTATCTCTCCTGTCATCATTCCAAGTGCTATTTTTCTCTACAATCCACTTGTCCATTCACCCACCCGCCGCCCCCTCCCACACACACACACACACACACACCGCCACCTCGCTCTGCCAGTCTTCAGTGACAGGTTTTGTGTCAGTGGGGCTGTCTGTGTCAATGTCAAGCCATTCCCAGCAATGATAATGTTTATTACCCATTGTGTCCCCTGCCGCTCACGGATTAACACAAATTGAAGGAGTACCCTTCAGAGATAACGCCGTGCGGCGAACTCAAAGACAATGACAGCTGTGTTTTCCCGATCTCAGTCTGCTTTGCGGTGATGCCTCTTTAATGCATTCCCATTCTGTCTCCACGCAGCAAATCTCTAGTCGTGTGCATATACGCATTGCAAGAATTGGTCGAATGTGCCACGTTATGAAGTCGCCGTATTGTGCTGTGCTTGCAGGTCTTGTGATCACGACAAGAACAGGAAAGTCACTGTGAAAGAGTGGACGGCCTGCCTGGTGGATCGTAACGAGGCCTGGTTTTATCGTTTCATGTGTCAGTTACAACTTTTGTTTTCCAAGTTTATAATTATTACCAAAAAAAAAAAAAAATCAAGAGAGACATAGATAACATATTTCAACAAGTATTTGTGCTGATCACTAGACTCTTTTGCCATTTCCTCTCTTGAATTAATTTTTTTACTAGTACCCTTATACATTTCCATTACCTTATCTGTTGTCTGTATTTAATTTCAGTAAAGCCTTGTTGTGTGTGGGTTACAATGAGAGACGATCTGAAAAGTGAAGGCTGCATTGATTCAGCAGATGATTAGTTAGTTAAATCTTTCATAATGAACATTCACTGAACGTCTAATTCAGCAGATGAATTAGTGACTTTGATTCAAATAAAAATCAATATCGCCCCCCCCCCAAAAAAAAAAAAAAAATGTTAATTTCTCTCATGAACAGATGTGAAAACTAAATGAACATAGTATACCTTCCTTTAGCAATCTTTAATAAATAAGATCAGTTTTAACCATTCTTCTCTACGAGCTTTTAGCTGAAAAATGAAGGATGATTTTTTTTTCTGTTTTTCACTGTCCACAGTGGTGATTTTTTTTTTTTTGTACCTTGTCCACAGCAATAAAAATGGGCTCTCACCAGCTGTGTCCTACTGTCAAACAAGAACTCCTGCATCTCCTTTGAACTTACATCAGTACAGCAGCCTGATTAAATAAAAAATAACAGTTTATCCGCAAACACTGTCGACTTCTCTGTCTCACTGCTTGTAACATGGCAATTCATCACACTAACTTCATTTGCTGTCTGTTCATTGCATTGTACAGACGCCCTAAATGCCCGAACAAGACCTCCTCTGCCAATTACGTTTACTGCTAATTACTTTTGGTGACATTTCTACAATTGTGTTGTAAAACATCGAGGACAATGGGTAATACTGAAACCAAACGAACACGGCATGCTTTGAATAACCAATTAGAGGGAAAGACGGCTGCGGCGGAGTTCACAGAAAGATACAAGAAGCAAGATCGAAGACAAAGATATGTGTAGGAGAAATAGTTAGTGCGAAGTGACGTGACCAGAGAGAAGGCAAAGGGATAATAAAAGGAGGTTAACCAGAGCAGTAGTGAAAAGTGTCATGGGGCATCTGCAGAAGCCGACGGAGGAAAGACGTGAAGAAAAGGGAAAGAGAAAATGTGTTTGTGAAAGATGGGAAGGGGTAATGCACTGTAAATGGGACTGCTAGTAATGGAGTAATGCATAAAAAATGGATCAGAAATGAAGGAAAGATGGAGAACAGAGAGAAAGAGAGAGAGGTGGCGGTAACTGAGAGGGAGACAAAATGCGAGAGAGAGAGAGAGAGAGAGAAAGGAAGAAAGAAAAATGGCATAAAATATAAAACACTGTGCACTAAAAACTCTTGTTGCAACTTTGTGAAAGCTTCAAGGGTACATGAGGCAGAACTGTTGGAGGAAATGTCTGGCCTGCAGTGGACTTCTCAGTATGACTGGTTTCCCTGGACTAATTAGCCTTCGAATATGCCCTGCCTGCAGGATGAGGGGAAGAAAAAGAGACATCAGGAGGAGGAGAGGTTTCTGGACTCAGTGTGAGATGCAGCTCCAGCCCAGACTTAACGCTAATGATGATTAAGAACTGCTCACTAGAAATGTGTTTTTAAAAAAAACAGTTTATCTTTAAGATCACACTCAAGATGTTTTCTTTTTAATCAGATTAAAGTAATTTTTTTTCCTCAACTGTAATGTGAACCACTGGAGAGATCAAAATTGTTTTGGAACACAAATTCAAAAGTGTTCTGGGTTAAAGTGGCGTAGGAGCAAAACACAGGCAGGATGATGCTGATGTGGTAGCTTAATGAGAAGAACAGGAACGATAAACCAATGATTTCAGGCTGCGAGAGAACACATTTAACTTTACTCATTGCACAGGTGGCAGCACTCTGTCACAGTACCACGCTGAAACTTATTAAACTCAACTTCCCTTTAAAAGTTATTCCATCGACCATAGAAATGCGCAAATTGAAAATACGATAATAAATTTGCTCAATGGAGACATGCAAATATTGAAAACAACTCAAGTTTTTTGGTAAATTGTTTTTGCGCTAGGGTGAGGTGGGGTTTTTTTTCGGACAATTTGTAATTTTTGTATTTTGCAAAATTGCAATGGAAACATTTTTTTTTTGTTTTGCATCATTCGATCAACAGCGGGATTTTACTACAGGAGAAAAAGACAAAGAAGACAACAGGAGGGTGATGGTTTGTTTTTATATTACTGGCGATGAGCGCTAATGCCTGATATATGAATACACCTACATTTTTCAACATCAGCAGAATATCAAGAAAGACTTGTACACTTTTGTAATGGAAAGGCAGCTGCAGGTTGCTTCCCCTCCCAGCTGTTTCCTGTCTCTTGCTGGACTCTCCCTCTGCTGTTTTTCATTTTCCCCTGATTAGTCCTCTTTGTTACCTGGTCAGGTCACCATGACATTTAGCACTTAATCCTACGGAAGAAGATTAGGGCCACTGAAAAAAAAGAAAAAAAAATCATCCTCCATATAACCCATTTTAGCAAGTTCCAAAGTTTTTATTTTTATTTATTTATTTTTATTTTTTTTTTACAAATTTACTTGTCATTTTATACAAGCCATACTTTTTTTTTTTAACTCTAAATGGTGATTTATTTTTTTAATTACTTGAATTTCAAAATATTACAATGACGACTGATGACGGTGATTGCACGAACCTTAACGGAGTAAACAGCTCAGGTCATTTTATCTGCAATTGTCTGAAATCTATTCTCCACTTAACAAACAACATGTTAGCAAAAACTAAGACAAATTTTTTCTTTTTGGCTGATCAATTTAAATCCTAACCAGCTCGACTTGTCAGATTTTGGATGCAATAAATGTTTCTGTGCATTGCACTTCGACACTTCTTGTTACCTTTCTCTACATTTCTTGGAAAGTTCCTTTCAAGGTGTTTTTGTTGTCCTTTAAACCTGGATGTGCTAAGCAACACTAAGTATATTTGAGTTTATTTGCTTGTGCTAATTTTACTTCAGCAAATCATTAAGAAATAATCTTTAGTGGGATTAATAATAAAAATAACTCCTGTTCATTTTGACTGACTAAATAAATCACTGGTTTGGTAAACATCTAGCTAGAGCCTCTGCTTCGTTAGATTTCCAGGGATAAATGAAGAATTCCTCCTTCAGACAGAATCATGATGGATTTACGAAACTAATAATTTTTCTCCTTACAGGTTCACATCATTCCTGCACACATACTTATCCAACCGGACTTGATAAAATTAGTCCAGACCCCTCCAGACGTTTCAAGCCTATGCCAAGACCTCTGTCAGTAAAACAGCTGTTTGCTCCTCCCCACATTACTTCCACTGGTGAACGTCTCTCCGCCATCACTCCCACCTTCTGCAGGGACTCATTTTAACCCAGACAGAAATACATAAAATGAGTTATCGGGGCCACCCCTGGAGCTCCACCATCAAATTTCTCTCTTTGTGTGTCCTCATATCCCCTCCCCTTCCCACACACACACACACACACACCATCCTCGGTGCTAACAGATTCCCTCTCATTACCTCTCATCCACCATCTCCACCTCCTTCCATCCCCCATCCAAACAGGGAAAGGGCAGTGGCAGATCGACCCAACTAATCTCAATAAGCCACAGACACACAGAAGCTCACCTTGGATATTAGATGAGCCCGATATCCCGTGTGCCACCCACTTCTCTAACCTTGTCCTCTCCCCTGCTCCTCGTTTGGGTGCTCATCACTGTTGCGATCTATGATGGGATTGTACACATCTCTTCCTTTCACACGCACATTAACACATTACACACACACACACACATGCACGTATTCATGCTCCCAAGGGACTGTGACAGCACAGGAGCAGATGGGCGGCTAGTGATGACATGTTGTTAAAAATAAAGATTCCTGTTAACCCGTTGTCAGCTAGCGTCCCCCCACACCCACTCCTTTCCCTCGTGTCCCCTCACCTCATCTCATCTCTTCCTGTCAATCTCTTCCCATCGTCTTCTCACACCACCAGTCCCTTTTTTCATTCGGTGCATTTAGTCTGCAACTCTACCCGTGGAGGCTCTTACTCAGACACTACCAAATCAACTAACCGTACCACTTAAAGCTTGCAAGCCCAAGAACCCTAACCCTCCACCACTCCCTACATGATATTTAATACAAGTCTTTTCCGACCTACAGAGCTCTGTATTATGCCTGGCTTGTGAGAACGCATCAATAATAGATAAAGAAGTCAGTTTAGCTGGGTTCTTTTTTTTTTTCTTGCAAATTATGCCGAATTAAATTTTTACGTTCGCTTTCTGTCACTTTTCAAATTTGTTCGCTCAGTGTTGATTGCTAAATTATTCAAAGACAACACAGTGGAGGCGGCTGGATCAAAGGAAATATTCTGGCCCGCCATGATGAAACGGAAGGGATGTCGGTCTAGATCTGAGAGATGCCAGACAAACGTCTGCAGGCTGCAAAGGAACAACTGATGTGATTCACAACTTTACCTAAATGCAAGGTGAAGATTTTAGTTTTTAGTGTACTGAGCTCCAGATAAGTTCCTCCCTTCATCAGTTCGTACCCTGACTTCGTCCCCACACTGTGCCATTTCGTCCATTCCTTTTTCCATTTCGCTCTCAAAAGTACAAACCGTGTGCATATCAAATTATTTCTCTTGGTCGCAAAATGCCAAAAGATCACATTTAATTGTGTTCAGACACAAAGTGGTCACTTTATACAATACAAACTGCAATTACTCTTTTTTTCATTTACACTGCCTTAACTTTTCAAAGTACAAATTCGACAAATTCGCACTTTCTGCCTCATTTTGACAAGACAGTACCACACAGTTGCCGCAAATCTGTCGTGTGCGCCTCCATAAAAAAAAGAGAAAAGAAAACCGCCATTCCGCCAAATCCCAAAAGGGCGCACTTGAATTGAGATCAAGTGGCTGTGGAGACCAGTAGATAACAGGGATCTCATTGTCATCTTTAAAAAAAAGAACAGTTTGAGTTGGGACATGGGGGGCCTTATCCTGCTGGAAGAACTGCTGTCATAAAGGAATACACGCAAAACTCACGTAGGCTGTTATTTAGCACAAAGGGGCCCAACAGTCTAAAACAGATGTTGTTGATGTCAAATTTGGACCCTTTGATGTGAACGTCAAAGTTAAAATCGAGGCTCATCGAACCAGTTAGTCCAGTTTTGATGAGCCAGTGTGAAGTGTAGGTTCACTGTTATGTTCCCAACTTCAATCTGCTTCAAGACTGGACAGTCAGAGACGGTTCTCTGCGTACATTGATTATATGCAGAGGATAGTAGCTTCTTTGAGATGCTGTTGGGTTTAGGCTTTTTTTTTTGGTCCACAAAACTGCTACTGAGAAGTTGTGTCACATTTAAACTCACTTGAGCAGGTCTACCTGGTAAAGAGCATAGTGAGTATATTTTTTTTCAGAAAACTTTATGTGACACCCCATTTCAGCTAATTGTTTTAAATCACAAGTAGCATAGCATTTCCTCATAGAGTAGATTATATATTTAAAAAAAAAAAGCCCAGGGAAGTACTTCAAATCACTGGTTGTCAAACCAGACATGAAATGCGACCAGTGTGAGTAGAAATTGATGGATGGCTGCTACAAAATCTCCAGCGAAAAACAGGTCCCTAAAATTACAGAA